CCCAAAAAATGGCGTCATGCGAAAGGGCATAACTTTAGTCTACACAACTACCTCAGAGAAGATTCACGCAACTCTCCCAAATACTCCGCATGGTGAAATGTTTTACATTTTCCCATTGCTTATGGTCCGGCAAACCGAATGTAGTGACTGTTTCGGCCTGAGGGCCGAAACAAAAAAAGTAAAACTTCTAAAATCATGTTTCCCGAGTATCAGATGAATTTTGAAATACATCTAATTTACAATGGCGTATTTCAGTTTAGTTTTATCAAATGCATCCCACATGGAAAGGAGTGAGTATGCTTTCAAAGCCATCAGGTTCGCATTCAGAATTTTGAGTTTACTGGTCATARGAGGGGGCAAGTGCAGACAAAGAAGCGTAGCAAAGTTCAGTCATGTGGGAGGGGTACATGCTGTTAGGTATATTGACAGGTCGTGTCACGACTGTCGCACCTTTAATACGAGACGTGTTGAGCAATAAAAAGAATTGTTTAGCAGTTCACTCAAGTTGTTGTTGTTTTACCTGTTTCAGATAACCTTTATTATTGTCTTCAATACACAACACATGCATCTTTTTCTATTCAAAAATGCATTATATAATAATTAATACAGTCAAACCAGCTCAAGCCTGAACACGTAGAGATCACTAATGACTTTATTTTTGGATTCTTGATTTCATTATTCGATTCGAACATTCATTAATAAAAACGAATCTTCAAAGCCTGGCATATACAAAATCCACGCAAATATGCAACCGAAATGCAAAAACAACTTTTTATGCAAGGAATATGTAATATTAATGACTTACCTTCTGTTTTCGCTATAAACAAGAGCCTACAAGCCAAGTTAATCGAATTTTCAAATTATTATTATTTTTTGAATATTGAATATTCGTTTTCAAAAATGAATCTTTGAATCGAATAATGAAATCAAGAATCCAATAACGAAGTCATTAATGAGCTCTGTGTGTTCACGCTTCAGGTAGTTTGACTGTAAGGCTTTGATCGGGTTAGAGAGACCATACAGGCCACGCATAACCTTTATGCTTCTTCATTAAACAGTACCTAAACTAAGTTTTTACGGCATATATTTTCCATTTTAGACAATGTAACTCTCGTTAATATCATATCTTTATATTTAATTAGCTCTTAGATATTGTAGATAYATTATTAGATTGATTAAATAATATCTTTAATTATTCAAAAATAATCTTAAGATAATGCAATTTAGTTTAACATAGGACAATAGTTATCCAAGCTTCATAAACATTAAATTTCAATTATTTAGTGCTCATACTTAATCTGTAAAACAGTACTAATTTTTATGTAATATATACAGTATGAGTGGCTGTGTTGTATCAGATATACAACCACRAGGCGTAGCCGAGTGATTGTATATCTGATATAACACGGACATGAATATATTACTTATCAAACGTCTAGGTTAGTTCCTTTGCGTTTCACTAAAATTTTCAAAATTAAAGTGAATTTGGCCAAGAAAATCCAACTTAAAGTTTATGCAAATGAACAGTTTTGTATCAGATTTACAACACTCTTCACGGTCGTGATTTCTGTTGTGTTTTCCTCATTAATTATTCATGAGTTTTATAAGTACTGTTTAATATACAGCAGTATTTCTTTCATCGATGCTATTTAGTACAAATTAGCTCTAATATATCTCTTTTGGGCATAAYATTTCACCATTTCAGACCACATGCTTTTCTCTTGAGATTTAAGCGTATACACTTATTTCAATAAAGTTAGTCACCTGAAAAGCTATAAAGCTGAGGCCGACAAGGATTATGGGTAGATTCATTTTACACGTTCGACCGCTTGATAACTGTTCATGGATTTGCGAATCTTTTAACGGTTACAGTCTCACCTCTTCTGACCATCATCGAGCTGAAGTTTGTATTAAAAAAGCTTTGTATATATATATATATGCTTTTTTGATATGAAAAGTTTCCCATGATGCTTAGTGATCTCAGCTTTCTAGGTTTTTGGTGACTAACTTTATTGAATAAGTGTATCAAGGAAAAAAATTATTCTTAAAATCACTTCTATGTAAACAGTGTAGTAGTATGGTTGCAGTATTGTTGTATTTGGAATTTCCTTTTTGGAGTTTGAGTTGAATTAATGTGTTTTCAAAGCAAAGAATCTTATTTTCAAGAGAATGACACTTGGTCTRAAATGGGCAAAAAAAGTATGCCCAAGCTACCAAACTTAAGTGTTTTATTATATAGGACTGTTTCACAGATATAGTGTTTGCACTCCAAGTCCAACAGCAACAATAAATTTTATAATCCAAAAAACCACATACAGTGTGATTCGAAAAACCGTGGGCATCTAGATATATTTCAAGAATGTTTTATCAGCCAATCAAAAGCRTTATCATTATCTTTCCATTATCTTGTGGTTAGGAAGTCAATTCTGATTGGCCAAAAWAGAATAGAACATTCCTACAATATTTCTAGGTGACCACAGTTTTTCGAATCACACTATTTGTTTATTTATCAACAATATTTATATAAGGGTGGCCAAGTTCAGCAAAGCTGGTTTGAATGGGGCTCTGAATCCCATGATAAAAATAAAAACTTATTATTTCAAAATATATACAAAAAAATTAAGACAAAAAATATTTTGCATATAAATAYGAAAAATATAATTTAATTTTAATTTAACTGATGCCATTTGGCTGGAAAACAAAATACTATAAAGAAAAAGAAATAATAWTATTCCCTATAGGTCTTAATTGATTTTACTTGACTCTTGAAAAACAAAATTTAGCATAATACGAAGTAGTCATTAATTTTTTTCTTTCTTGTTAGTCTACGATTATACATCTTTGTTTTACAGGCCAAGTAAAATCACTCGAACTATTTCACATGTTAAGTAAAACCATTCTGCTAATGTCTATATCCATCATTAGCTTGTATTACATTATTCCAAAGGTCTCCAAAACTCACAGGAGGAAAGAATAATAAGCATAGCTGGAAAGAGCAGATTGAAATCAGTAAAACTACTAAGGATCTCACTGAACTGTGGCGACATGTCAAAAAATTTTCTCGCTACCACACCCTAATTCGTTTACTGTCACCCCTACTTTTGTTACATGTATTACAATTAATACCTTACTGGTAATGTGCTAGATCCGAGACAGTGACAAAAGTAGGCGTGACAGTAGATGAATTAGGGTGCGGTAGCAAGACAAATTTTTGACATGTCSCCACAGTTCGGTGAGATCCGTAGTATGAAGCTTGAAAGAAGTTCAAAGCTTGCAAATATATGAATTTTGTCACAAAAATTATATCTTTGCAAGTTTTAAGTTTATTTGCTTCAAACTTCACCAGACTGTTCTGACACATTTTTACCTATTAAGGACACTGACTTGTTAAACGTTCAARTTGTGTTTCAGATAATCATACCAATTGCCCTATTTCACTATGACGTCACTGCTTGTTTATGTGGGGGATAGAATCACCAAATCCAATAGAAAATTCAACAAAATTTGCTCCTAGCGAAACAGTTTAATCTAAAATGGCCTGGTTTTCAGATACAATGTGTTAATATGTGCTAAAAAATATTCTGAGCGTTTGCTGGCTATCCTACTTCTCTTTGTGGATACAGKTTTTAGAACAATTTTTGGTGAATTCGTGTTGATTTAACCCCCTCCGATGACCATGATCCTCTGCCTTTAAACAATAGAATGTTTTGATGTGACGTCATAGTGAAATAGGGCAACTGGCTCAAGATTACTTTGTTTTCATTCTACATTGTGATTGGCTAGCTCTGTACATGTTATCCAGCTGATGGCATCAAACTATAAGTCTCTTTAACTTAGGCATAATATTTCCCAATTTCATACCACATTTCATCATTYTCTTGAGAATAAGATTCTTTGTCTTTYGATTAGTTGTATCCATATTCATGGCTTTTTATGCAAAACTGTTAAACAAAGAAATGATACTCTAGGGAATGAAACAGTTGTAAATTGAAAACATTATATGCCTAAGGTTAAGCGTTCTATAGCATCTAATTTTTCAATGCTCTCGTCAGAGGTAGTTGCTTGAGCTTCATATTCCCAAGTCGGAAAGGAACGTATATATATATATRTATATACATATAATTAATTATAGAWTTAGTTGAACCATGCAATCATCCCAAAATATCTTAAAATTAAATCAATATATAATCTTCTTTAAGTTTCATGGGGTAAAGTTTGAAAACATTTATACAGATAGATATCTTTTTGATACCTTAATTGTCACAGGAATGAATCGAACTGGAGCTGACATTTCACTGGAGAACCATCAGACTGCTTTCCTTGTTTTTGTGGAGGACAAGGCTCAACATCTCCATCATCGTCTCTTTTTCTTTTCRTTGCTCCTACTGATTCTTGAGAAGTGTTGTCACAAGATGGGGTTACATCTGCGCAAATAATGGCTTTCTCTGGTTTTGCATCCTGGTTGTTCAWCACATCAATATTTTCTAAGTTATCTTCATTTCCCTCAGAAATAGAATCTACGTCTCCTATATTAGAAGTTGAACTACTAGGGGTCGCATTTTTGGGCATATTTTCTGAATTTTTTACAGCGTTTTCACTCGTTATTGTACTAGTGCTAGTGCTTAAAGGGGTGCCTGTTGCATTAGATTGAGCGTGATTATTAYTAGGGTTAATTTGCTTGATTTTTTCAAACCTTTTCTTATAGTGATTAGGCATGGGTAGCTTTCCCTTCCTTGGGAGTGGCTCTGAGAAATATCTAGGATATTCGACATTAGGAATGTTGTCACCGATCCTATAACAAGGAGGCGTTAAATCTAGTGACCATTGGTCAGTGTATCTTGCAATAGGTGCAGGTGGCGTGTAGAAAGGAAAAGAGTTAAAAGGTATAATATTATGCTGAAGGGTTAGTCCTAAGAGAGGTTTTGCCACTGGGRAGTTCAAATATCTATCATGCCTTAGATTCCAATTTCCTTCTAATTGATCAAAGCAATCAAATGCATGGAATTCGTATTGTGAATCACTGAATCTCTCGGGGAATGTGAGATTACGAGCTGGACGTATTTCTCTCGCAACAGGCAAGCTTATCGACAATCTACGACAAATGGCCGTCATAATAGAATTGGTGATTTTCCTATGTGCTCTTTTACCCCAGTGAATCCCRTCTTCAGCCTGGGTGAAAAACTGGTTCCCATCTAAAGTAAAGAATAGGTCTATGTAAAGGAAACCATAAACTCTTATGAGATCTCGAGCAATATCATTCGCAGAGACAACATGACATCTTGGCAAAGTCTTGAAACCTTGTCTGAGAAAGCCACCTTTGCATTGCTCGGCCAGAGGTAATGCGGAATTCCACAGAAGTAAAGGATGCGAAGGAAGATTACAGACAGATGAAAACAGTTTCTCCAAATTTCCACCGTACTTCGCCATACCTTCCTCATAATGATGGACATCCCAATAACAAGAATTCATTATAATGATATCAGGATTCAGAGTCTTGAACTCATTCAGCACAGATTCAACGTAGTCATTAAAACAGCGCGTTATGAAATAAAAGCGAAAAACAGTATTCTGGTCACGAAACTCGCGGACTTCCTTGTAATTTACCCCGTTAACTCTTTCCCCAAGCTGTCCGCCTAACATAAGCTTGTCACCGAGGAAAGATAACTCGCCTTTTGCTCGGAGTTCACTCTCATTCAAATAGCGACTGCTCGAGTCATACCACAAACAAACCAAATCTTTGTAGACGGATCTCTGAATAGAATCTCCTAAAACGACGACTGTCTTGCCCGTGAAGATATTCCTAGCATCTTKGTGTAAAAATATAGAATCTTCCTCAACCATCTTTAACATTGCGTAGGTTATAATCTTGCCCCAGACAAACAAATATCAGACAAGAAATGAACACATCACCCGCCTGATCGGAAGGCGATCGAGTTGTCCTTTCAAGGTTGGCGTTCCTGATTGGACAATCGGTTAATATTTGACATGCATACTCACGCAAAAACGCGCGAAATTTTCACGTGAAAATCGTGGAATGCAATAAGGAAAATAAATGATCTTAAATTATGTTTATGAGGCATTATAATACTTTTTATCTAATGATGTTTTATTATCGATTTCATATTTTTATTCGACTTTCACACTTTTTTTCACCTTCACCTATTATGTAAATTCTTCTGTTGTTGTTTTTTCCGTTTAGAGCAATTCGAGCATAAAATTTAATATTTTGTAAGAGGCAAAAATAGAACACTTTTACGTAAACGTTTCGAAATGTTACGAGCCGGTATTGATCTAGCCTCCTCTGCAGACACAAATAACGTCTGCAAAGGAGGCTAGTATTGATCGCCTGTTTCCAGATGTTTGAGGATGAGAAGAGTGGGAAGGGGGAAGGGAAGGGAATGGAAGGGAAGGGAAGGGAAGGGAAGGAAAGGGAAGGGAACACTACACCTTTTGCTGTTCATTAACCGCAAAGGAATATTCATTGAAGCGAAGAAGCATTGTCATTAGAGCGAACAGGCATACAATAAGGCGAACGGAGTCTCAATAGTGCGATGGAACGTTCATTAAGAAATTTAGCATTGAATTTGACAATCGTGAATATGTTTGCGTAAGTTCATTAACGTTTTCAAACTTTCATTAGCGTTTTGGTGYAGACAATAAACCACAACACACATTCAATACAGCGTTTTGGACATTTATTCACGCAATACAATATAACTATATTTTCCACTAGGAATTTTAGGATTTTAACTGTCTTTTCATTTTTTTTACAAGCCCGCGTGAATATGATTTCATACAAACAAAGCGCCGTTAGGTATAAATATCAGTCAGTTCTGAGTTTTTTAATCCCTCTTTTGGATATTGCTATTGGTTCAACAATTAAACCAACTTCCAAATGAGTCAGACTAGCGTCTTTTGAGGGCCTATGAAGATCCACAGAAATGCATAAAATGGTAC